GTGACAGAACAATTTCAGCGTCAGCTGTCATCACGTATCATTTCCCGCATCTGAATTCAACTCATACGAAGTTTGGACAACATGGCCTGTTCGGTGCATGTGCGACATGTACATACACTCTCGATAGCAGATAGCCCCCCTCCCATCCCAACCATGCAGGAGATACGGACAAAGATATTGAGTTGTGCCAGGAGCTACGTACGAGAGTGCCCTGTTTACGAACGTCCTAATGTGGGTGAGCGGTGTGCACATCCCCGGCAAGCTTTTGGGTAGAGGCCGATATGCATGTTTCCAGAGACGCTTCGGTGCTGGAAACATTCAACGGGCAGATGCTGCCACCATGTTCTGCGGAAAGCACACTTAACACAGCGCAGTAGCGGCAGGTTCGACCGCACACCGACCGCGCTAAGACCCACGTACGAGCAATTCATGCTGCAACCGTAGCGGGGCGGGCTGCGGTACCAACCACAAAGATATGTCGCCCTCGGTCGCGAGGAGCAAGCGGAACTTTGGTGTTCTCATTGTCTTTCTAAATGTACCCGGGATAACCCCAGACTGCAACTTGCACCTTCCGCAACCCGTGGGCCAAAAACGCGCAAATACGATGCTGGCGAGGAGTAGACGGGGAATCCCCTAAAAACGTCTAGCTGTTCAACATCCTTGCCTCAGCAAGCATGCCAGCGATCCCGACATACAACCTAGTTGTTCCGCGACGAAAAAACTGTACACTCAAGTTGGCTGGCGGCGGGTACGCTGACCCTCCGCAGCAAGTTGTCCCGGGAGCCAAACTAAAGTGCAACATCCGGCGTACGTCTTGCGCGCGAGGAACAATGGCTCCCTCAAAGCTTGAGCCACACACATCGGGCCTACCGTCTTGGTGATGCCCGTTGCTTTGTCGATGCCGAGCGAGCTGACGGTGGCAAGAGACGCCGTTTTGCCCAGTCGTGTTGTCGCTGCCGCCGCCCCGACCTTGACCGCTCGACGAGACGAAGCTGCTGCTGCTCGTAGGCCGGTGATGCGCACCGGAGCCAACGCCATCATCGCCGACATCCTGCTTTTTATCCTTCTCTGCTAGTGGCTGTACTGGTGTAGCTTCGGATGCGTCCTTGAAGAGTGGGATTGAATGAAGTGGTGTGGTGTGATGTTGTGGGGTGCGGTGCTCCGTTTGAATAGCATACTTCTGTTCGAGAAAAACGACAAAATTCCTGGGCGCTGAACCGCAAACTGAACCTACTAAAGAGCCAGAGCATCTAGGTATCTCAGGTACTTGATCTACGCAATCTACGTAGATGGGGGCTTCGGAATATCATAGGGGGAGGGCTTCATGACGGGCGTGTGGGTTGGGACACGTGTTTTCGGGACATCATCAACCACCACGAGACCCTGCCACCGCGCTGCTGGTGTTGTTGTTATTCTACGCACTGCTTCCGTCCCTTGCCCTCGAAATAGCGCCGACGATACCGGACAGCCCTCGTTTCAAGGTGAGAAAAAGAACCAGTATTCGAGTGGTGGTTGTAGCCTTCCTCGTGCACATGTACAACCGATAGCCGGTGCACTAACTTCCGGTTGCTCTCGCAGCACGCACCAGTAGGCACCTTGACACAGGTTTTGGGCATGAGGCGTCCCGCAGTTCGGCTCTTCGTGCGTATCGGCGACTTTGCTGGCTTTTGGGTGGAGAATGAGAGAGAGAGGTGGTGTTGTTTGGGCCGCTTGTCTCTCGACAGCTGAACGCCACATACGTGCGGTGCAGTTGAAGCTACCCGATGTCCCCGCACATATACCAGCCGGGTGTTCGCTGTAGGTTGTTTTGCCGCCGCTGTCCCCGAGATTTAGCATGCAATCTATCACCACCTTCTACGTCTGTGGTTGTCTCACGTGTTTGTTCCGTTTTTGTCCAGAGTGTGCTTCGTCACTCTCTTATCTTTCTTCAACACGGCAGTAAGGTAGCGTCCATGGAGGAAGGCGATTGCTCCGCGTCCGTGTGGCGTGTTCTGTCAGCTCGGTGACCTGCAGCCGTACCCCGTGCGTCGGGTGTCGTAGTTTTTCCGATGCCCAAAACTCAAGAGAAAGACGTGTCCTTGCCCTGCAGCTAGTATCTGTTCACAGGTGTTACGACCAGCAACGCCACGCAGTACTCCCACCCGCTTCAGGGCAGCGCAAGCAGCCGCAGACAACTGCCTAGCATCCGCCGTAGATTCAGATTGTATCGCTCGAGGCAAGTCGTAGTTCTGATGCTTATCCGTTGGGAGTGAGCGCAGTCGTTCTTACAAAGCGCCACCAGCATCACGCTCGCAACAATAGAATAGTGCTTGTTGGTCCATTAGTGCTGCTGTTGCTTTCGTAGGCACGGTACAGCACGTCTGCAGCAGCACACTAAATGGCAACTTCCACGGCTGCTTCATCCTGCAGTTGTTACAAGCCGCGGCATAGTCACCGCGGTCGCCAGGAGGATATTTTGCACGGTCGCAGTATTTCCATTTTGTGATGCGACCTTCTTTTCGCCCCGTTGTAATGTCGATGAGAGCTGAAACACCACCGATCGAAGTGTTGTTGTTATGTGCTGCTAACACAAGAGTGCATACCTTATGAAACATCATATACAAACACAGAAAGCCTACCCATTCGAAATTTTACCACAACAGTCGAACGGTATGTGTTGGAGTCATACCAGCAGAGCTCCGTAGTAGAGATACACCGGGGGCAATGGGGTGCTGACATGATTTCTTGTTGACTTTTTTCGCGCACCCCGGTGCGAAACAAGCCAATTCACTTCGTGAACCCGGCAACCAGGTTACCGTTTTTATTTTACCTCCGTTTTTTTTTTTGGCGGTAACCATAATGGTGGCCAACTAGATCATGTTGTGCGGGGTGAACCCTCACTCCCTCACTCCGCGCAAGGGGGATG